GTCATTTAAGAGGACTTCACATTTTCTCCCATCTTAAATTTGTTTTTCTCCATGTATTCTCATTGAGTTCTTCCATAGAGCAATGTTCTTAGAGCCTGTTTAACTACTGTTAAATATTGCTTATTTATATAAACACTTTTTTTAAAATGACTTATGAAAAAAATATATTTATGTTTGGTTAATTCATTTGAAAATTGCTTTTGATAAGCAAATTGTGTTTGACTAATTAAAAAAAAGTGATTTTGAGAGTCAATTGACAAAAAGGGGCAAGTATCAATGTGCTTTTAATATTAATATTATTTTATATAGAGAAACTATTTTAAATATCTATTACAAAAAATATTAAAATGCATATATTCATGAATTTATAAACCATTCGACAAATTAAACCACTATATACGAAAAATTCACTACAAAAATAAATAAAGTCCTTCATATTTTTAATCCTACAAAAATATTGTAGTTATGTTTATTTCGAATTCTGTAAAATAAAACATAAAATAATATATAAAATATAAAATATAAATAATAATATATAAATATGAAACAAAATAAAAAGTTATTATATAAAAATAAAAAATAAAAAATAATTTTTTTGAATGAAACTTAACCAAACTTATGAGATATGCTAATTAATTAATAAGAGATATATTGATAAATATTTATATATGAAAGAGATATTTTAATTTTCAAAAAAATAATTTTCTTCTGCTTCTACTTTTTTTAAGAAGCAGAAATTTTTAGTTTCTTTCCAACAACATAAAAACTACTTTTGCTTCCATTTAAAAGCATTTTAAAGGATTTGCTAAACACATAATTTTTCAAAAAAATGTTTCTTTCCTCAAAAAAAGTACTTTTGGCCTTCCAACAACAATGCCAAACAGGCTCTTACACTCTAACTGTAAATATAGGATATTATCGTCTGATATATCTCTAACTTTGTGATTTAAAGTTGATTTATCTCTCATTATAAAAATGACTCACATATACCTTTATTATTATTATACAAATGATACAAATATACCCTTTTGGTCTAGCGGGAGAAAATTTTATAATTTAAGTTATTTATTTTTTAGATTTTGATTATAAAATATTTTTTAAATTTATTATTTTAATGATCAAATTTATTTTCCACTCATATTTTATTGTAAAATTCATCATAAATGCTACAATATAGCCACAAAAAATAATATTTTTTCCTTTTTCCATTCACACTTTTTTCTTTCTCATATTTTTACACTAAGGGTCCGTTTGGCCATGTGATATGATATCATGATATGAAAGAAAAATAAATAAATAATATTAACAACCTGTTTGGATTGACTTAAAAGAAAGTAGCTTTTAAGTCAAAATAAAAAGTCAAACTTAAATGACTTTTAAGCTTTAAGTCAAAAAATAAAAACTAGGGGGAGACCTACTTTTGATTTTTAACATTGTCAAACACTTCTTAACTTATTTTAAGTTATTTCTATATTTTTCAACACTCTATAAGTAAAAAACTGACTTAAAAGTAGGTTTGACCAACTTTTAAGTCAATTCAAACACCCTCTAAGAAACCCCAATAATGATAAGCAAATAGATCATCTATACGGGAGATATTTTAAAACTTAAATTAGGTGTTGAATCGAAGAAATAAAAAAAAAATCATGTGTGAGAAAGATTAAATATACCCTAAACTTTGCTAGAAGAATCATATATACCTCTATATGATTATTTTTTAAAATAATAATAATGTAAAAGTAGTATCTCAAGTGTCATTAGAGGAAAAGGGCATATGTGAGTCACTTTTGTAATATAAGGGTTTTATGTGAGCCACTTTTATAACATAAAAGATATATATGAATCAATTTTGTAACGAGAAGTATATCAACTCTAAATCACAAAATGAAGGGGTATATTAAGTCATTTTCCCTTTCATTAAATACCAACTTTAGTAGTATATAATAGAATGCCTTGTTACTTTGCAAAAAAAGGTTTTTCTTTTTTGTTTGTCTATCCTACTAATTGAGTACGTCAAAAATTTATGCAATTTTGCTAACTTCATACTTAAATTATAGGATATTCATATGACACTTACAATATTTCATATCTAAACTCCTTCTGTATATATAGAACTGAATTAAAGGATAAATATATTTCATCTGTCATACACATATCACATATGACATCTTTTAGTATGGTATCATTTGTAATTGACATACCCAAATTATTGAGTATTTGTATTACCCCCTCATCTTCATTTTTTCCTATTTATTACCCCTTAGACACTTATTAAACTAAATAAAGAGAAAATGGTCTGAAAAATATTTTAACTTTGATCAAAATTGTTGTTACAATATCAAATTTTGTGAAGGACTTTTTACCCCCTGCACTATTTAATACTGTATTTTAAAGATATATATGTGCACACGTGGACATAACTATTTATAATGATGCAATATTTATGATGTCTACGTGGACACATATATACCTTTAAAATACACTATTAAATAGTGCAGGGGATCAGTAAAAGGTCATATCCAAAATTCGATATTGTTACAATAATTTCAGTCACAGTTTAAATATATTTCAAACTTTTTTCCCCTAAATAAATAAACACACCAAGTTAAGATATATCTTCTCGAGATACAACTTTATCACTTGACATTGCAATAATTAAAGAAGGAATACACTTCTATGAAGAGAGGGAACTTTCTGTATTGAAGACATTTTGGGTAGTACGTAATTTATGTGTTTAAATTTATGTGACATATTTTTATATTTTGTGTGTTTCAAAAAAATGTCACATTTTTATAATTAAAAGTTAACTTAATTTTTAATTTTCTATTTTTATTCTTAATTAATGAAATAATTTATAGCAATGCAAATGTTTAATATTTATTTTAGACCACAAATTTCAAAAGAATTTCTTACTCTTCTAAACTTTATGTCCAGTCAAATAGTGTCAGATAAATTAGCACAAATAAAGTAGCAAAATGCTAACTTCCTCTTCGGCTTTGGTTTTTGTTATTTTTTTAAATCTTTTATGTTTATATATATACTCCTCAATGGGAAATTTTATGTTATGGCATAGAATGTGCTATAATTATGGCGCATCACACACATATATATATATATATATACATATAGATAAGATATAAATCATATAATATACACATATACAACGATATATATATATATATATATATATATATATATATATAATTCATACATCAAAAATAGATTTTTATTCTTATTTGTTAAATATATTTTTCTTGTTTTATACTCAACATTAGTTATGTATTTACCAAATCATTTCGCAAGATACATTACTATACATAAATTATTATGAATATTTGGGTTCAAACTCATATAAATCATTACTTATTTAGGAACATACAAAACCTAGATTGGACAAGTAAAAATAATTGAACAAAGTATTATGTTTGATAATAATGTATAACAATATTAATAAAAAGGTTAATTAAATAGCTTAATCAGTTAGATCAAATGACCTTCCCCTAAAATAACTTCCTCTAGCCGTTCGAGGAAGTAAAAACAAAAGCCTATGTAGAAGCGGATTTCACGCTTGGGCTTATTTGGTACGAAGGATAATCTCGAAGTTAATTTTAAAATGAATTTATTGTATTTCATATTTTGATTGAGATAAATTCATGAAATAACCTATTATGTGATTATAAAGACGAGATTTATACAGGACGTTTCCTAAAAATTATTAACTTTATATACATCCTACCCTTGTTCGTAACCCATCACAATTTTTGAATCGACACAACTAATAAGAAAACAATTATTGACATAGTGAGTTATCATTTTACCTCTATTAATTATGAAGTGGATGAATTAAAAACTTAAGGTTTTCAAGAAGTCCTATATTTTTCAAAGTAATTAATTGAGGGTATAATAGGTAAAAAAAATTGTCCTTTTTGATTTGTCAAAATGAACAAGTAATTAGGAACAACTAAAAAAGAAAAAGTGGACAAATAATTAGGGACAAAGGGAGTAAACAATTGATGTTTTTGTTACTACTCCCACTATCCCTAATTACTTGTCAATTTTTGAATTGGAACCCTATTAAAAAACAATGATTGACATAGTTAGTTTACTTTTTTACCCCTATTAATTATGAAATGGGTGAATTAAATATTTAATTTTTTTAGAAAGTTGTACATGTTACAAAGTAATTAATTGAGGATATAATAGATAAAAATAAATTGTCTTTTCTTGATTTGTCAAAATGAATAAATAATTAAGAACAACTTAAATAGAAAAAGTAGACAATTAATTAAAAATTGAGGGAGTATCTAACTCTTACCTAACAAATTCAATTATTACTTTAAATCAAGAATTTAATTAGAAGTAAACAAGTAAACAACCATCCAAACAAAGTTTGTTAATGATTTCTACATGGAAAGTAACATAGACAACCCTTGTTTCATTTTCTGACACGAAATATTTTCCAACAAAATGCATCTTTTTTTATTATAAGACATAAATATAATTCTTTGTACCTTTGACGAGACCATGCATGTGACCGACCACAAATAATAAACAACAAAAATACCATAATCAATTCTTATTATATACGTGTACGTCTTAGATTACATACACATGTGGACTAAATCATTTCAAAACAAGAACAAAAATAATGCTCACATTTCAGCGTTTTACGCACTAATAAATTAACCCTTCCCAAATCCCGCCACGTACTCCCTAAGATATTTCGAGCAACTAAAAAAAAGATACTTTTATTACAACACGTGGCAATGTTTTCTCACTATCTTCCAAACGCATACGTTGTCTTTAATTCTTTAACACATCAAATCATATCCCCTCATGGTTGTGTCTACCAATAAGAGAATTCCACATACCCAAATTCAAAAAAAAATATTATTGGATGAAGTAGTTATCATTTATCTATAACTTGTGTTACACGTGTTTGACTCTAGAGTTTTGATTTATATATAGGGGACAAAAATAAGTTTTCGATTACTAACAAAATGAGTCAAAGTGAGAGTCAGAGACGAAGGTGGAATTCGAATAGAGTAGCTGAGTCTGACGACTCAGCTATTCATAACGAGACGATTCTCCGTTTGGTTTTCGATTCTATGAAGTGGGATGTTCATTCCTTATGTCAAACGGCGTCGGTTGATCGAAATCTACGAGCATTAGCGAAGAGGCTATTATGGAAGGAGATGTGTATTTATCGCGCACCGCGCATGATAGCGTCGTTAATGGACGGTGCGCCGAATGGTCGGATCGGAGGAGAATGGGAAGCTATGGCGAAATTGTTGTTTTACTGTTGCGGGTGTAATCCGACCCGACATTTCCGAACGGGTCAATCATGTCCGGGTCATTTCATGAAATCGTCTCGGTTTTCAAAGACGTCGGGTCGGAGTTTTTTAGTGAGGAGATGTAGGACTGATTTGTTGTACGTTAGTGATCCGTGTGAGCATGAAATTAGGGATAGGGGTGATGATTTAGGGATTTTCAGAGGGGTATTTGGAGGATTTATGAGATCGAGGACGAGGGCGTGTTTGATTACGAGAGAATTGGAGGTTGAAGAAGGAGTGAGGTGTCCATTTTGCGGTGGTAGGGTTTGGAGCATGACGGCAGCTAGACTTGTACCGAAGAGCGCGGCGCGGAGATTGGGTACGATGGAAAACGGGTTGGAGTATTTTGTGTGTGTTAATGGGCATTTACATGGAAGTTGTTGGCTTGTGCACTTGTCGTCAGAGGAAGATGGAAATGATGATGATGATGAAGATGATCACGAGGATGACAGAAATCAGATTGGCAGTAATGGATAGGAGGGCCTCACATAATGGCGATCCTCGATCGCCATTTGGGGCAAATCCAATCCAGTGTCCCTGAAGATGAGAGTCAGGGGCAGGACAGAGGGATATGGATTTAACTGATGTTTGATTTGTTTTGAAAATTTTGAATAAGAGTTTCTGAAAGTTCTTTTTTTTTTGTAGAAACATTTCTCAACAAACCAAACACCAAGAGAAGAACAGCTGATTGTACCAAAGAGTAAATAATTGGATACCTGATTGAATGAATAGATTTTTTTTCTTTTTAGTTGTACTCCCGATTCACTTTTACTTGTTTATTACTATCAAAAAATAATAGTATTTTTTCTATGTTTTTAGAGCTTGTTTGGCGTTATTGTCGGAAGATCAGAAACACTTATTTGAGAAAAAAATAAGTGTTTGACAAATTACTAAAAGTGTTTTTAAATGGAAGTAGAAGTAATTTTTCTGCTGTTGGGACTATTATTGGGAAGAAACTAAAAAAATCTACTTTTTAAAAAATGAGCAGAAGCAGAAACAAAAAAAATATTTTTCTCAAGACTAAAATATTCTTTTCATATATACAAATTGAACAATATATTTCTTATTAATTAAGTAGCATATTTCATAAGTTTGGTTAAATTTGATTTACGAATTTTATTTTTTTGTTTTATATAATAAATTTTATATATTATTTTACGTTTATATATTATATTATTATTTTATGTATTGTTTTGCAGAATTAGAAAAAAGGTAACAATAATATTTTTACAAGATTACAAAAAATAACAATTAAAGATTTCAACCTCTTAAAAAATATATATAATATTGATTGTAAATTTAAACATGAACATTTTAATTTAATAAAAATATTTTTTTAATAATAGATATTTAAAGTTGTTTCTGTCTATAAAATAATTTTAATATTTGAAATATATTAATAGTTGTCTTTTTTTGTAATTTGACTCTCAGAAGCACTTTTTAAAAAAGATTAGTCAAACGCAATTTGCTTATGAAAAATATTTTTTCAAATGAATTAGCCAAACATAAATTGTTTTTTCAAAAACACTTTTCTAAAAAGTCATTTTAAAAAAACTTATTTTTAATAGCAATGTCAAATAGGCTCTAAATCTTAACATTAATTAATACGTATTCGTTAAATTATTTTCTAATACATAATACTAAAATCAATAAACACGGAGAGTACCTTTTAGAGTAATAAATGAACTATGTTTATTTGAGTAATAAATGGAATTGACCTCTGAATTAGTGTCATATCCCCGAATTAGCAATTACTCTTATTTTTTTTTAGTTATCTCTAATTACTTCTCCATTTTGACAAATCAAGAAAGGACGGATTTCTCAATTAATTATTTAAAAAAAGGTAGAAAATTGAAAATATTAAGTTCTTAATTTATCCACTTCACAATTAATAGGGGTAAAATAGTAAACTCAATATGTCAATAATTATTTTTTTAATAAGTGTGTCATTTCAAAAGTGGACAAGTAATTAGGGACAGAAAGAGTAAAATCAAGATTTTCATCTCACGTGGAGTTTGGTATAAACATATATAATTCTAAGATTGCAAATTCCAAAATTGATAAGAGGGAGTTGTTTTAAGAATTGAACGACAAGCATTTTTTACTTTCAATGGTAAGGTTGTGAGCTCGAGTCAATAAGAAAGCAAAATGATGGGAAAATAGGTGGAAACTCCTAGAAAGGAGTAAAAAAATAAACAAACAAACAAAAATTATACTATTTATCAAATGTGAGATAAAATATTATTTTATCCCAAATTTGTTATCTCTTATGTTATATGAGAAAAAGTATCAACCGGTCAAGATCTTGCATGTTCAAAAGAGGAAAAATGAGAATTTTGAAATGATTGTATAATCATATTAGGAGATATATGATTAGAAATGATCAAAGATATTTATAATTAGATAGGAATGATCCCTAGGTGAAAGATGAAGAAAAAGAAAATTAATTATTTAAAAACGTAAAGAGGAATGCACAAATACCCCAATAAGAAAGTGCGAGATATTGAGAAATGTAGAGTAGACCGAAGAAATGACATAGACAAACTACAATAAACAACATGATTTTTCATCCATTTGTTTAAATTCAGTTTTTACAACGTCAAAAAGAATGATTGGTGGACGTAGACAAACTACAATCAATAACAATTGGTCTCTAACAATTGTGAGTTATATTTAACTAGTAAATTTGATCGCGCTTCTCATTTTAATTAATTTATTATTAATTTAAAAAATTGATTTACTACTTTAATTTATTATAAATTATAATGCTGATCGTTTTGAAAATTCTTTAAATGTTATATATATTGTTATTTTTTAACATGTCAGCTTTCATATAAAGTGTGGTTTGCTGCAATATTAAAATTCTATTTGGAAGGAGAAAGAAAAAACTATTAGGTAAATAGATAAGTCAAACATATTAAAATACTTGTAATTTGTGAATGATAGTGATTTATAATACAAAAAGACTATAGAGATGAATATGAATCTTTAAAATAAAATAATTAAGAAAAATAAATAAAAAGATTAATAAAATTGTCGGGCAAAGAAAAGTTTCACATCACTCTTCTTTTGCCTAATTTTAATTATGTATAAATTAGGCCAAAGTCATCTGCAGCCACTCAAAGTTGTCTGCATATTTCACTTGAACGCCCTTAACTGAGACTTGTACCTATTGAACACCTATAGAATATTGAATTGATACCACTTGAACACTTTTTGCCTACCTGGCACTTTGAGTGTGATTCACCACTGATGAGCGCGTGAAAACATATAATCAAACATTTTTTTAATTAAAAAAATCTATTTCTTCTTCCTTGAATTGGTTACCACCACTTTCTCCGGCCGTTGCCATCGTCACCGTCATCATACACCTTTCTTCTTCTTTCATTTTTTTTCTAGCCACTTCAATTCCTTAACCATCGATCAGATTTGCCATTATCGCTGCCAGCACATTCGTTTCTTTCTCCTTATTTAAGCAATCACCATCATCTCTGCCATTAACGCCGCCACCTAACCCTTTTTTTCTTCAGATCTAGAATCGCTTGGTCGTGACTTGGTCGCGTTTTTTTCTTTTAATCTAGGACTGAATCTTTGTCGAGTTATAGAAGTAAGCAAAGTTACAACTTTGCAATTTAAATAACACCACCATTGTACAATTAATATTCCGATCTGTGAAATATTATTTCACTCTCAAAATTTATTTCTTTTTTAATTATTTTTTAATCATAATCTTTTATAGTTGATTTACAATGTTACTATTAAAGTTTTTTTTTTGTTTACTTTTGAATCTCAATATTCTGCCATTGTACATACAAAAGAAGAAGAAAAAGAAATGGCGGGTGGATTGGTTCTGATGGGCAACAAGGGAAGAGTGTTTGGTGGGTGGGTGGGTGGGTTGCATAGGGATTACATAATAATTATTTTTTAATTTTAAAATATCTTTTTTTCTTTCCCACTGTTTTTTAATAATATTTTTGACCAAAATGACCTGTCATAATTTAATTCGTTATTATGCCATGTCATCGTGAGTGTATCTCACTCACTTAATATTTGGGGCTGATTAATAAAAAAATGTCAAATAGGTATCAATCTAAAGTCGTAGAGGTGTTCAATAGGTACAAGTCTCAGTTAAGGTGTTCAAGTGAAATATGCAGACAACTTTGAGTGGCTGCAGATGACTTTGGCCTATAAATTATTTTGAGATAAAAGAGATACTCATATTTTTCAAGGATGTCATTTATTTCGGAAACATGTACAAAATAATCCAAAATTCAATATGAAATTAATATAATTATTCCTAAAATTCTAATAGGAAATTTAACCTAGAAAATAAAATTATTGTATTTCAATTCACTATAACTACGTACTAACTTGCAGCAAATTAATTTTAAAAAATCACAAAATTTGATTTATAGATAATGTTAAAGTATTCTTCAAGTCTTATTTCAATTACACTAAAACTACATACAAACTGCAACAATTTAAATTTAAAAAGAGTAACAAATTTTGATACATAGCTAATAATAATGTATCCTTCAAGCTTGTAAGAATTATCAAAATTCAATAAGAAGTCAATACAATTATTTCGAGAATTTATAATAAAACATTTATCCCATAATTTTTTTTTTATTACATTTACATCTACATTATAACTATGTACAAACTTGCAACAAATAATTAAAAAAATAAATTTGATATATCGGTAACAATAACTATTTTTCAAGCTTGAATTGTACATATACTTCTCACAAGTAAGGTCATACACCATTCTTCTTTGTTTCCTAATAACAAAATTTTTGCACAAGAATGATTTATTAATAATGATGGCAAAAGCAAAAAAAAAAAAGGAATTAAGAAGCTTTTTTTTTTTCTGGAAAAAAAGCTTCAAATGAAGGAGTAAATTAGTAACAATATATAATGAAGATTTGAGAAGAAAACTATTGAATGAAAAAGGAAGAATGTTATGAAGTGAAAATGATTTTCAGTATTTATAGTGATAAAAAAATTAAAAACATAGCATATAAAAAATACTAACGGATTTGAGTGTAATTATAAATAAATGAGTATTATATGCATTAATTGTACCTAATTGAATGTTAAATTCTTTTTAATAATAATCATTAATACTATTTAACCCATTTCTAAAGCCCTTTTCTGATTCCTCTTTTACGTTATATTTTATTTTATTCCCATGATCTCATCTTTATTGTTATCTATTTATTTTCATAAATCCTTCAAGGTTAATGAAGGAATGACACAACGTGGGCTGCAATCAGATTCAATTGGGCCTTTACTGCAATCTTATGTTTAATTGAGTTTTATGAAGTTTTTATTAGTAGTCATTTAATTAGTAGCAGAAATGAAATAAAAATATAAAAAAAATGTCGAAAAAATGAGAAAAAAGGTAAATCCAAATGACGGCCATAGAAAGGTGCCACATCACCTTTTCTATATCTAGCTTTATATTATTATATAGATTATTTAGTCAATCTTGAGCCTGTTCATTTTCCTTCCAAGTAATTTTCGAATAAAATATTTTATAACACATTTATTTACAACTCAATATATTTTAACCCCCAAAATTCAGTCCTAACTCATCCAATTTTTCCACTATTTTAGATTAGATAACAAGTAGTAGATAACATGTTCCATCAATATTAGTACGAAAGAAAGGTAGTTCAAGATTGCAATCTTTATTGATCACCCACACGAATGTATTGAAAGAGACGTTGTATTCCAACTAATATTTTTTTTGGTTGGGGTGGGGTGGGGGTGGGGTTCACTCGGTGCTAATAATCACATTAGAGTCTCGATTAGTTCGACTTCACATTATATACGATCTACTTCTTCGGTCTTATAGTAATTGTCCACTTCTTCCCTTATATGCCCATTAAGAAATCATAAATACAAAGTATATTTACTAATTTTTCCCTAAAGAAACTTTTTTGAAACTTTATTAGCTTGTTTACATTTTCTAAAAGAATTAATTGTAACCATAAAATGAAAAAAATATAACTAATTCTAACTTGATTTTGTAAATTGACAAAAAGTTAAGACATATATTTTTAATAATGTGGACAACTAATATGAAATAGTGGGAGTATTTAATAATAAAATGTTCTCTAATACCAACAAGGGTTGTGGTGGAGTGGTAAGTACTCATTCATCCTTAATCAAGAGGTCTCGGGTTTGAGCCCCCTTGGGTACGGAGTCGTCTTTGGTAGGGAGCGCTTTACCCCCCAATGTGGGACTTCCCGGCGCGAATCTGGATTTAGTCAGGCTCCAATATGTGGATACAGAGTCGCCTTTGTTACCCTACCCCCAATGTGGAACTTTCCGGCGCGAATTCGAATTTAGGCTCCAATGTAGGTACCGGACACCGAATGGGAAACCAAAAAAAAAAAAATATTCTCTAATGAATTTTTTTTCATAGAACTCAAACTTAAAACTACCGTTTAACACTCCCTCTATTTCATATTAAGTAAATTTTTAAGAATTTTCTTATTGATCAAAATATTTGAATTGTTCAAAGTTCAAGATAAATGTTTGAAAGTTTTCCAAATTTGCCCTTCTCTTTAATGAAGTCTTGCACGTTTTAGGAGTTAAATCACCCTACTTTTAAGAATAACTTGAGAATAAACAAAAGGACAATAGTGAAAAATATACTATCTCCGTTTCTTTTTATATGTCATCCTTACTATAAATATTTGGTCCATCATACTCGTCATTTCATAAAATCAATGCATAAATTACAATATTCTTTCTATTTTACCCTTGTGAGTTATTAGCCTTGAAAATATATATTTGACTAACATAGAAAAACTAAATGAATAATTCATGTTCATTGGTCAAATTAATTAATCAAAACAAATAATTTCATATTCATTGATTGAAAAGTTGATTTAAAAAAAATAAAAATAAGGATAGAATAATAAACTTACTTAATTTCTTAATACACGTGAAATAAAAATTAATGATATATAAAAAAAAACAAAAGGAATAATTTAAATTATATCTATAAATATTTTTCTTAATAGAAGTGTATTGAATTACAAATTAAGCTAAAATATAATAAAGGGAGTAGATAGCAGAACTAGTCACTGCATATGTTTGCCTGAATGGTTTAACGCGTTGGCGCAAAATTAAAAAATTAAATGTTACGCGCATTAAAAATTAAAGTTTCTGTTTACCATAAAGTTATAGAGGTAGCTTCCAATACAAATAATAGATTGATATTGCTTAAAAAAAATAGGGTGTTCTATGTGGCGTTTTGCTTAAAGTTTCTGTTTATCATAAGTGTCTATTTGTGTACATCAAAATTAAATGACATAAATATCCATAAAATCAAGTCAAAAGACATATTTATATATTATATCAAAATAATACGATAATAAGTTGTAATATAATACGTGGCTGCAAAAAATATTAAAATTTTGTAATTTCAATTTTTTTTAATAATATTTCATGTATAGAAGAGTTTAGTGAAATTACTTTTAAATTAAAAAAACCTCATCATTCTTTTTTAAATCAAAAAGATGATTCCCTATCTTGGGCGGTGGTTGTTGGCTCCTGTCGTTTGTTTGTCCGAGGTTATTGTCCGAGCATTTCCTCTAAGAAACGTATTACTCCCTCGATTCAATTTATTTGACTTTTTTATTTTTTTAAAATTAAACGGTTTAAGTTTGATCAAAAATTTGCACATGAAATTTTCAATTCTTAAAATAAAATTTATATATTTGTAAACTACTTAAAAAGTACTATAAGTCACAATAATTGATAATTCGAAATGTTTAAAAGATCTATGAAAATTTTATGATCAAAGATAAATTTGTTTGAATCTCAAAATTCAAAAAGTGTCACATAAAATAGAACAGAGGGAGTACTATATTATAACGGTTATAAAATTAAGTTCCTAACAATATAACTAAAAAGAATAGAAAAGAAGATAAAATGCATAGAAGAAGCAGATAATTTTTTTTCTATTCAAGTGTATCTTATAATTAGAGAGTAGCACTAGGATGGGTGACCCCCTGGGAAGTCCTCGTGTTGCATCCCTCCTTTTAAAATTTTTAAGTGCCTTGAATTGAATAAATTTCACTTATATATAAGTAAATATTAAGTTCTCTCCAATCCTCTATATAAACATACGAAAAAATAAAAAAAAATAAAAAAATAATGGTGGATTGAAAAATCACTTCAAGAATCACAATATTAAATGTCCAAATTATATATATCGTTATCTAAAATAATTCATATCACCTCGAAAATATATATATAACTAATTCGTGAATTAACTCAAATAAACAATCTACTAATTCAATAAATTTATAACCATACACTATTTATGACCATATTTTTATGTTAAATTTCTTTATTGTGCGTGTGAACTAAAACAAATCTCCATACTAAATTAAATTACAATGTTTATAATTTGATCTTCTCATCAATGATCGGCAAGAAGGTAAAAACTATTTTTCAACTTTTTATAATGTCTTCCACTTTAGGTATATTTCTATAACATCTTTACTAAGACAATAATAATGCCATTCAATTTATGTGTGACATAAATCTATTCACATTAAGTTTATTTTTTTAAAAATTGTTTAATCTATTTTATTTATCACAAAAATATAAAAAAATAATTTAATATATCAAAACGTAATTTAAATTTATAATTTTAAATAGAGTAAATTTTAGGAATAGCAATGATAAAAATCATATTAGCGCTCTATAGCTACAGTTTTGCTCTTTGCGTTCTTCATAGCCAAATTATGTTTGTTATGGAGTATTTGATTTGTATAAATCGTGGCAATTGGTATAAATCGGGCGCTAATTCATTTGTGTCTATGAACATTGCGTTTGTATATGTATATGTTTTCTGTGTTAGGATAGAGTGGCGAGCGAGATTGGGAGAGAGATGAGATATGTGAATTGTATATGTATATCAGTTAGATAATTGTATATATGTAACTACTATATGTATATGTATCCACGATTGTATGTGTATACCTGCATAAAATTTGAATTCGTATACAATTGAATCGTGTTAAAATATTTGTATTTGTATATCAAATCTCTCTCTCTCACTTTATACAAACACAAATTATAATTGTATTCAATATAATTTGTGTTTGTATAAAGTGAGAGAGAGAAAGGAAATAAGAACTGGGCAAGAGAAGATTTGTATTTATATAATTATAAGTGTATAGGCTGGAGAAATATGTATTTGTATTTATATTGCTTTATACAAATACAAATTATGCATTTGTGTTTGTATAAAGTGAGAGAGGCGAAGAAGAGATGATTGACAAGAATTTTGCTGCGAAATGGGATTAAATGAAACGACAACTATTTTAATAGATTCTGACCCAACAAAAAATCATACTCCCTCCGTCCCATTTTTATGTCATCCCTTTCTATAAATAGTTGGTCCATAATACTTGTCATTTCATAAAATCAATGCATAAATTACCATATCGTTCCTTTTTTACCCCTGTGAGTTATTAGCCTTAAAAATATACATTTGACCAACTTAGAAAAGCTAAATAAATGATTCATGTTCATTGGTTAAATTAATTAATCAAAATAATTTAATTCATATTCATTGATTTAATACTTGAGTTCCAAAAAAATTAAATAAGGGTAGAAGGATAAATTTACATCATTTCTTAATTCAAGTACAAAGTAAAAAAGTGACATATAAAATAAGACGGAGGGAGTAACAAATTAGTTCGAAATAAAAATAACAGAAGTGAAAAAGCCACGGAATAAACTCGAAAATGAAATAAAAGAAAGGGGGGCATTTGTGGAATTGGTTAATGAGGTGTGTGTTAATAAGAGCATATAACGTTTATTGGGTGAAAGTGTCTGATGACAGCAAGTTTCGCCCCTGCCAAAGGAAGGCCGGTCCCCGTCTCTGCTTCTTTTCCGTTCACTCTCAGGCCCGGCCATTTTTTCCGTCATTAATCTTCCTCACAGAAACCCTTATTAATTCTCTCACAAACCAAACTGAAATCTTTTTTTCATATTCTCATAGAAAAAAAAGGAGAGGTGGCTGTTTTGTTGTTGTTATCATTCACATTCACCTCATTGTTATCAAAAATCTAAACTTTTGTTTTGTTTGGCCAAAAGGGGGGAGAAAAATTGTGTTGGGTTCTTGTAAGAGGACGGAAAGCAAGAATCTTGGGTCGTTTTTGGTTAGTTTTTTTTTTTGTTTTTTGGTTGTTTATTAATCTTCTTAAGTTTGTAATCATGTGTCAAAAAGTTTTGATTTTTCGTGTGTTTTCTTGATTATGGGAGACTGTTTTCGAACCCCATGATATTGGAATAAGCAAATTTTGAATTCATAGAAGAGAAAAAATAAAATAAAATTGATGGGCCTCTGTTCTTGATTCTGATTTGTTTAATACATGATTTATGTATAAGACTATATTTCAACGTCAATGGCGTAGCTGTTTCATGTTCTCATTGTTTTATTCTTTGTAACTCTGGGCTTAAACAGAGCAATTTCTTTTTGATGACCCTGGTGTCGAATCAGCTTGCACATAACTCGACTAATTCCAGAGGGTATCTGACTTGGACAGGGGAAGAAATTACCTCAAGAAGTTTATTTTATGATTCTCTTCTTTTTGTTATGAGGGGTTTTACGAAAAACAGGGAAATGTCTATCTGCATGTCTCTGGCATCATAGCATACCGTTTCTGGATAAGTTTTGTTGTAACCTTGATGTTTCTTCAATTACTTTGTGGTGAGTATATATATATTTTTGTACTTATTTTGTAGATATTGTCATTGAATTTGTAGGTTAACACAAAAGTACAGGCTGGTAGAGTGAAAGTGCACCATCATTGTGGCTGGCAAAAGGTGCCTTGATAATAAAGTGAAAGGTGCTGACTGCCAGAGGAGAACCAGAATTTGGATTTTCAGGTTCAACCTTTAAGTTCTTACTCTTGAAAGTGAGTTCAAAATTTTATAGTATTTCCTGTAATTGTACTGATTTTTCACATATATTTATGCTGTGTATTGAAATTACTGGTTCAGTCTGGGAACAAGGCTGCATCCCCTTCTGCTGACTGCTGATTGCACTGATGACATATTGTTAAACTAAGTTATGAGTAGTTTTGTCCTATTATGAGAAATACCATAATAGGAGAAGTTGTCACTCTTATACTTAAAACCTATCTTCCCTGGTCAATATCATCATACATGTTCTCACTACGTAGCTATTCTTGCCGAAAGATCAGGTTACAAGTAACATTTGGAGGGAAACATGGCTAGCAGTGAAGATATTGTTCTGTCAGCTGTGCTCAATCTTCTATCTGCATTTGCATTTCTAGTGGCCTTTGCTATTCTACGACTCCAACCAATCAACGACAGAGTGTACTTTTCAAAATGGTATCTGAAGGGTATACGAGCAAGTCCAAGAAGTTCTGGAACATTTGTGAAAATTTTTGTCAACTTGGACTGCAGAACATACATAAGGTTCTTGAATTGGATGCCTGCAGCTCTAAGAATGCCAGAACCAGAGCTTATCGATCATGCTGGTCTTGATTCTGCCGTGTATATACGGATATACCTTCTTGGGTAAGTTCACAACATTTACATAGTCCTTGTCCATTTCACTTAAATAGTTTTTACTGATAACGAAATGCTTTCGGTTGTCACTAGGAACTTTTAAGGGATAAGTGGGCAGAAATGTTGATTTACGTTATTGTTGTCTTTTTATGCATCAGCGCTAATTCCAGTATTATCAATGCAGCTTGAAAATCTTCGTTCCTCTCGCACTACTTTCTTTTGCGGTTTTAGTGCCCGTCAATTGGTCTGGGAAATCATTAGAGCAAACTGAGGGTCTAACATTCAGCACTATTGATAAACTTTCGATATCCAATGTGCCGGATGCATCAAAGAAGTGAGGATTGACTTTTTCCCTTTCTGTATTGGTTTCTCGTGTTGACATTGTTGTGAAAAAGCTACTTGCTATAAATTGAGTTTCTTGTGTAAAATGTTCATCATAAATATTAATTTGGTAAAGAAACTGCACGTCACAAACCATAATTTTATCTCAAATAAAATTCTATTATCAAGGTTTCAAAAAGATAATAGAATAATGGAACATGTATTCATCTCAGGTTTTATGGCACCACATTGATGAATTTTCTTGTTTCTTCACTTTTGTTGCATAGTGAAATAGTAATATATAAAATAGCACCTCGTTTGGTACTCTTGTCAGGCTTAGCTGCTGCAGTTTCCTTTGTTTAGTGGTTTATAAAAGGATGACACTTACTAACTAAAGTTTTCTAAAAAAATTTCAGGTTTTGGGCACACCTGGTAATGGCTTACGTAGTCACATTTTGGACCTGCTATATACTTTACAAAGAATATCATATAATAACAACCATGAGGCTTCAGTTTCTGGCCTCTGAAAATCGTCGGCCTGATCAGTTCACTGTAGGTGCATGACATAATTCGTTGAAATGTTGAGTGTACGGTGTAAACTGTTTGGTTAGTTTACCAGTGCTGTTCTCTTATAGGTCCTTGTGAGAAATGTCCCTCCAGATCCAGATGAATCAGTGAGCGAGCATGTCGAACATTTCTTTTGCGTGAATCATCCAGATCATTATCTAACACACCAGGTCTCTGTCCATTTGAATATCAAGAATGATGTATTTTAGAATTCAGACAATGACAGGGAAATATACAGATACTGTTTATTATCATGTCTCTTCCCTTCTTAGATGACATAGTTATGTTATGTCCTATCTAGCCTAGTTACGCTGAGATGTATAGGGATTTATCCATTTCTCATTCTTACATGTCCTGGTAGTTTTTGGTCACTGCAATTGATCAACCTTATACTTATTCAACTTGTAGGTTGTTTACAAGGCAAATAAGTTACTGCAATTGATCAACCTTATACTTATTCAACTTGTAGGTTGTTTACAATGCAAATAATTTAGCTAAATTGGTGGAAAAGAAGAAGAGCTACAAAAATTGGCTCACATACTACCAAACTAAGTATGAGAGGAACCCTAAGATTAAGCCAAAAACAAAGGTACTTTTTTTTTCTTGACCTTGTTACCTTTCTAAACACCAAAGCATTGTTTATTTTCATTTCCTGTTTGTTTTTTTGTAAAGTGAGTCAATCATACATAACGAATCTCATGTTCAGTCATGTATAGACAGGGGTTTGGGGCCTTTGGGGAAAAACTGTGGATGCCATCGACTATTATACCACAGAAATTGAGAAGTTGAGTAAAGAAGTAAGTGTCTCTGACTGTTGTATCTTATTTCTCTTTGTTCTTTATGAATTCATCTGAATAAGTACTTTTTTTGCTTGAAGTATTTCTGTTCTTCCATCTACATGCACCACTGTTTTAAAGTTTTTCATGGGTTGGGTTATACTTCCCAATCGATTCATTCTGTGTTACTGCCGTAACTAATTCATATTTACAAATCACATTTCTTTCTTTCCCATCAAATGAGCTACATGTTGGAAACCCAAATTGATTTTGAACACTGGAGGTTTGTTAAGAAATAAGCAATAAGCAATAAGCAATAAGCAATAAGCATTGTTGTTATGGCATACATGATCAAATCTGGAAAGATAAATGAGTCATTGAGGACTATTTAACAGGTACATACAAACCTTCAGCAGGGCAAAATATTTAATTGGAGTACATTCTCATACGTAAAAATGTGACCTTTCAGATTTTTCCATATTTTAAGCATCATCTTGAAAAAAACACGTGTTTCAACTAGCTCTTTTGAACTTAGAGCAAAGAAGATGCATGTATATGGCCAATGCGTAGTTATATTGATGTAGTACTTCGGGGAATTTAATCTACATTCAGGGAATCCAAAATAAACGAGAGATTTCTCCTGACAGACCTTGCTTGAATTGGGCCAAATGTTTATTCTCGCTAATATTTGTTGTTAGCTAGCATGCGAGAAAATATTTTCAGCTTCTTTTGATGTCTCTTGTAAATATGATGATTCTTGGATTTAAAGTTGAGAAAAACATCACATAACCTGTGGTAGTATTGGTAATTTTATTTGCTGCGTCTAATTTTGTATGTTAGCTTGTACAAGGTGATTGTAGACCAATTTACGTTGAAATAAGACATAGGTTCCTGTCTTTACTTTACCAATAGGTAAACTTTCTCTAAAAACTTGCTAAGCTTGTCAAAGACTGGCTTTAATTTAATATACATTATATCATGAATGTCTCTGCAAAATAAGATGATTTGCCAATATCAAGAGATTATGGGAAACCAATTAGCAACACCAGGTAAGTTTGCTAATGGAAAAGGGTTGAAATTTTTAGCAATTAATATTTGGATTTCCTGTTGCATTATGGTAATCGACTTACCCTTTGATGTAGGAAACTATAGAAAGAGAAAAGGTAATGAGTGATCCCAAAGCAATAGTTCCTGCGGCATTCGTTTCATTCAAATCTCGTTGGGGAGCAGCTGTCTGTGCTCAAACACAACAATCAAGTAACCCAACCATTTGGTTGACACAATGGGCTCCCGAACCACGCGACGTCTATTGGAATAATCTTTCAATACCATTTGTTGAACTCAATGTCCGCAAACTGCTAATGACTGTTGCTTTCTTCTTTCTTACATTCTTTTTTATGATCCCTATTGCATTTGTTCAATCTTTGGCAAGCATTGATGGTATAGAGAATAAACTTCCCGTCTTAAGGCCATTGATACAAATGTAAGTGCTTGTCTTAATGATTTTTTCACTTACAAAAAAAAAAGTGATCTTATGCTGTTAAGTTAGTAAAATGTGTGCTAGTGTTTATACATAAAAGAAAAAAAATGAAATAAAACAATTTCTGAAATGCTGTTGTATTGATGGATGATTATACCATAAGAATATTTCTACCCATTCCATATAAGCGTTCAGGTTACCAAATGCACTGAACTAGAGGTCCATGTATATACTTTTATACTCTTTTCAGTAGTCTCCCATTCTCTCTTTTGCACTTTCAAAATCTTTTCCTGGGGAAGGTAAGCAGTTTAGCTGACTTATCTAGAAAGACAAAGACACCCACGAAATTAGCATCAAACTTCTACATTTGCACTTGAGGACGTCTTTAGATATATTACTTGAGCATATTATGTATTTAAGAAATCAATAATTGAGGTTCTTACTTCTGGACATTTCTGTTACAGGGAAGTTGTCAAATCCTTTATCCAAGGTGTTCTTCCTGGGATTATATTGAAGATCTTTCTGGTTCTTCTTCCTATGATTCTAATGGCCATGTCAAAAATAGAAGGCTATACATCACTTTCATCTTTGGACAGAAGATCAGCAACTAAATATCATTTTTTTATCCTTGTCAACGTGTTCTTGGGAAGTATCATCACTGGAGCAGCCTTTGAGCAGCTTCAGAGATTCGTGGATGAGCCTCCATCGGAGTGAGTTCCTACTGCTCATCTAAATGGAAGCCATGAAATGTTGACGGATCTTACCGTTGGACTGCTAGAAAGAAACCAAAAAATTATATGAAGTGGGAATATCAGGAATAGTAGGATATAATAGGAGCTTGCCTAATGCAGTGAGGGAGCCCGAATCTAGTCTTTATGATTCAACCAAAGGGTGTATAATTTATAAACTCCACAACAAAGATTTGAAGGAATAGGTTTTCAACTTCACCATTCCTAAAAAATAAAACAAGAAAAGAGGAAAGAAGATTATATTCGCATTATCTAGTGATAAACATGTCACCTCCTATGATTATTTATTTCTTGGTTCAGAGATGGAGCTATCTGAAAAATTAACCTCTTCGCATTAGGATCTCACTGTTATCTAGAATTGCTTCTGTCGAATGTTCCATATTGACATATACTACATTAATTTGATAGCTGATCCCTGCTTGTGACCGATCTATTATAGGGGGCATTAAAACATAGATGGGGATATTTTGATTCTTTAGTTGTACTTTTTTAATAATATTTCCCCTCAAAGTGTAGTTTTCATTATACGATGTTCAGTGAACACTGCAACTGCAGATGCATTACATTGACCGATCTATTATAGGGCTACATTATGTGAGTTGAAGTATATGAGGCATCAAGAGTTTGGATTATTTAAGTGACTTTAGATTATTGAAAAGAGTCTGAACTTGTTTATAGGAAATTCCTTATTAAATACTTCTCTGTGTTTGATATGAAAGGATTTCTTTGTTTAAAGGTTATATATTCTATAAGCATTTCTTCTTCTGTCTTGATCATATGCACCAATTTGTTTAACCTTTTCCTTTATGTTCAGAATTCCAAAAACAGTTGGTGTAGCTATGCCATTGAAGGCTACTTTCTTCATTACCTACATAATGGTTGATGGTTGGGCTGGAATTGCTGCAGAGATTCTTAGATTGGTTCCTTTCGTTATGTTTCATCTTAAGAATACTTTCCTGGTAAAGACAGATCAGGATAGAGAGCAGGCTACAGATCCCGGTTCGTTAAATTTCTCTGTATCAGAACCTCGCATACAACTGTACTTCCTACTAGGCCTTGTGTACTCAGTGGTCACACCTATACTCCTGCCTTTCATCATTGTCTTCTTCGCGTTCTCTTATATGGTTTTTCGCCATCAGGTATGTTCACTATTCCTTTTGTAACAGATATTAGATATTTTGTCGAGAAGGTACCTACGAGATGTGTGATAAATGCGTAAAAGCAATGAACCTAAAAAAATCTAGTGTTCTCCAAAAATTACATTTCGGTTTGTGGATCGCCAATGAAGCAAATATAGAATGTGTAGTTTGTATTTTCAGAGTGCAACAAGCCAACAACATTCTTTCTGAACAATTGAACCTTCTCTTGAACTTTTTTTTTTTTTATACACTTTATTCCTGCTTCATATTTGTGGTAAAAAAACACTTTCTTCAGTTAAAGAGATGACGTCCCTTTACTTATTTATGTCTAATAACACATTATTTGATTATACAAACCCAGTTAACTACTTCTGGAACTAATTACTGAATTAGCAGATTTATTTTAAAAAACCTGAACAAATAGCAGAAGCTAGAAGTGTGAAGAATCTAACTTCTCCTCATCCGACCGATGTGGGACTCAACACCCCGCCTCATGACTAAGGCTTGACATCTGGAGCGTGAATAATTTAAAATGGGGCCCAACATCGGTAAATAATAAATTGTGATGGACCTGACTCTGATACCATGTCAAATAATCCAAACTCTCCTCAACCACACAATTCAATAATATTTATCTCCTATTTTCTCACATGGATCTTGGGCCTAACTCAGCCCCAAAAAACTAGTATATGAAGGGAGGTGATACAATGTCAATTGAGTAAGCCTTAAAGAGCAAAGAAGATTGATAGTTGCTCTTGAACAGCTGAACTCGATTCTTCCAAGGAAGAAGATGAATTGAGAAAGAAAGAGAATTTCTTATTGATCTGAATTGATACCTTTACAATGAAATCAACGAGTATATGTAAGAAGGGACAGCTGTCCACAAATCAGTTATAACAACTTGTAACCGACTTCCTCTACAACTATTACAACTCACGTGTCAGTCACGTGTCCCACTTAACAGACTCAAATACAAAATTAATGACTAACTCGATTTCTAATCAATTGACATGTAACAATACTCCCCCTCTTCATCTGATCCTTGACCTCAAGGATTAAAATGTGGAAACCGCTGGGTGAAAGACTGATAATCCTCCCAAGTGCTATCATCTTCAGACGCATTGAACCATTTGACTAACAACTGAGTAGCAGGTCTGCCATGCTTCTTGATAATCCTCCTATCAAGAACTGCTTCTGGTGTTAAGAGGATGTGACCAGCGTCAACATGAACCTCAGGGATGGTAGCCGAAACAATATGGGACCCTAACTTCCTTTTGAGCTGAGAAATATGAAAAGTAGGGTGAATTCGAGAGGCAGGGGGTAATTGGAGAGTGTACGCAACTGAACCCACCCTTGCTATAATTTGTAAAGGACCAAAAAACTTGGCTGAAAGTTTTTGGGAAGTATGAGATTTCAATGATGTTTTGTCTGTAAGGATGTAACTTTATGTAGACCCAATCCCCGACTACATAAGACCTATCAGTCCTTCCTTTATCAGCTTGAGACTTCATCCTACTTTGGGATCTAGCTAAATGAGACTTTAGGCATCTCAAGGTAGCCTCTCTGGCTTGTAAACTCCTATCGACCATGTTAAGTTGGGAGTCGAAAGGCATGTAAGGAAGGAGCGGAGGAGGTGTTTGACCATAAACAACAGCATAGGGTGTCATGTTAATAGCAGAATGAAATGAAGTGTTGTACCACCATTCGGCAAGGGCGAACCATTGGGGCCATTCCCTAGGTTTCTCAAACGTCATGCACCTGAGATAACACTCAAGACATCTATTAACAACTTCAGTCTGCCCATCTGTCTGAGGGTGGTATGCCGAGGAAGTGAGCAAGGTGACCTTCTGCAATTTGAACAATTCTTTCCAAAACCTGCTTGTAAATATTGGATATCTATCAGAGACTATGGTTTTTGGAATTCCATGCAGTTTGAATACCCCATTCATGAAAGCCTGAGCCACCTCCACTGCAGTATAAGGGTGCTTGAGTGCCATAAAGTGAGCTGCTTTGCTCAACTTGTCAACTACCACAAAAATAACCTCATGTCCAGCGACCTTAGGAAGACCCTCTATAAAATCCATTGAAATATCTTGCCACACTTTGTTTGGAATTGGTAGAGGTTGAAGAAGGCCAGGGTATGCTACATTTTCACCCTCGCACCTTTGACAAACATCACAACATCTAACATAGGCATAGACATCCTGTTTCATTTTCTTCCAGTAAAAATCCTCTTTTAGCCTCTGTAAGGTGGCTGTTATACCAAAATGACCTCCACTAGCACTGTCATGGTATAAAGCTATCAGATCTTTTCTCACTGTAGCCACAGAGCCTACCATCATCTTACCTTTTCTACTCAGGATCCCAGCATGATAACTGTAGTAAGGCTTAGTAACACCTGCAGTCTGAATGGAAGTGATTAGTTTCTGTAGCACAGGATCCTGCAACCACGAGTTCTTAACATCTTCAAGTAGTTGAGTTTGAACCCCAGAAATGCTACAAAGCTGGACGGGTTCCTCTTTTCTAGAAAGAGCATCTGCAACAACATTGTCTTTGCCTTTTTTATATGAAATAAGGTAGTCATAACCAAGTAGTTTGACCAACCACTTTTGTTGGCTAGGAGTGGTGATCCTTTGCTCCATCAAATATTTGAGGGGTTGATGATCAGTTTTAATTACACATTGCCGACCCAAAAGATACGGCCTCCACTTCTGGACAGCTGACACTAGTGCTAACAATTCCCTTTCATAAACTGATAGGGCTTGATTCTTTGCGGGCAACCCTTGACTGAAAAATGCTATAGGTCTGTGGTTTTGTGCAAGTACAGCACCAATACCTCCTCCAGAGGCATCTGTTTCCACTATGAATTCTGTGGAAAGATCTGGTAAAGCTAAACAGGTGCTGAAGTAACGGCCAATTTGAGCTTGTCAAAAGCTTGAGAAGCACCTTCAGTCCATTTGAAATTTCCTTTCTTCAATAAGTCATTCAAGGGTCTTGCTATAATACCAAAACCTTGGATAAACCTCCTGTAGTACCCTGCAAGTCCCAAAAACCCTCTTAATCCTTTTAAAGTTGTAGGTTGGGGCCAGTTCACCACAGCATCTACCTTGCTTCCATCCATAGCAACCCCTTCTTGAGAGATGATATGACCTAAATAGTCAATCTGTTGAACCCCAAATGCACATTTACTTTGCTTCACATATAAAACATTTGCTCTAAGAATCTTGAAAGTTTCCCTCAGGTGAGAAAGATGATCAGTCCACTTAGAGCTGTAGACAAGGATATCATCAAAGAATACTAAAATGAACTTTCTAAGATAAGGAAGAAAAATCTGATTCATCAAGCTTTGAAATGTGGAGGGGGCATTGGTTAGGCCAAAAGGCATGACCATGAATTCATAATGACCTTGATGGGTTCGAAAAGCAGTTTTTGGGATGTCAGGCTCGAACATCCTAATCTGATGATAACCTGATCGTAGATCCAACTCAGAGAAATACTTTGCTCCATGTAGTTCATCTAGCAATTCTTCAATCAATGGAATGGGAAACTTATCCTTGATAGTACGAGTATTCAGTTCTCTGTAATCGACACACATTCTCCATGAACCATTCTTCTTCTTAACCATGACTATGGGTGAAGAATATGGACTGGTACTAGGCCTTATCACTCCTGAATCCATCATCTCATTGACCAGCTTCTCAATCTCATCCTTCTGAATTGCAGGGTACCTGTAGGGTCTAATGTTGATAAGAGAAGTGCCTTCCTTCAAGACGATTCTATGGTCATGATCTCTTGATGGTGGTAATTCAGTTGGTACCTCAAACAAATCATTGAAATCTCGCAGCATCTCCTGTATGTGGCTTTATCCTTACCAACTTCATCACAAGTGTTTATTGAAAAGAAACTACCTGGTTCCCCACTGTACTCCTCCCCCAAATACATACACAGAGGTCAAGCATAGTTCGGCTGGTTTAGCTAACTATTTATCCATGCCACTCTGTTGTACCAACTTAGCTGCAGGAGGTTTGACACCCCTCAGAGACACTTTATGTCCCATGATACTGAACTCCATTTTAAGTTGTTTGAAATTCCACATTATATCCCCCAAGGTAATTAACCATTGGACCCCAAGGACCATGCTACACCCTCCAATAGGCAGTACTAACATGTCAGAATCGAATGAGACCCCTTGCATTTTCCAAACCAGCTTCTTACATATATACTGGCAATGCATCTTCTTTCCATCAGCCACAGACACAGGAAAATGGGAGATAGCAGTTAAAACACATCCTAACCTTTTGGCAGTGTTTAAATCCAGAAAATTGTGAGTACTCCCTGTATCAATTAAGACTTGTACAGCCTTGCCTTTAATAGATACTGTAACTCTCATAGTCCTAAAGTCATGCAGTCTATTCATGGCATGAACACACACATGAGGCAGAATGGCCCCCTGATCACCAGTCTCCAGGGAATGGCCTATCATAGTCAAGAATTCTGCAGGGTCTATTGCAACTTCCTGCTCTAATTCCTCAACACCCTCACTGTCCTCCTCTACTTCCATAGAAAATAATTGTCGCTTCTTCTTACAAACATGCCCATAAACATACTTTTCATCACAATAAAAACATAGTCCTTTGCTCCTCCTTTCATCCATCTCAGCAGATGTTAATAGTTTGACATTTTTCAGGTTAGGTTTGGGGTTATTAGAGAAGGTCGTGGAATTTTTGGAAAGGTTTGGATGACTTCTACCGGATTGGTAGGTGGATCCATAAGAAAAAGTGGGAGTAGTTCTGGGATTGGAAAGTACTGAAGATCCAGAAAATACTTGCTTCTGGACAACTAAGGTTTGTTCCTGTATTCTAGCTAAGTTAACTGCCTTAGCTAGTGACCTTGGTGCAAGCATTTTAACAGGTAAGCCAATTTCTGGTTTCAACCCTCGAACAAAGCAACTAATAGTTCAACCCTAGTGAGTAATTCATCAAAAAGATCGACATAGTCTTGAACAGAGTTTACCTGTCTCAAGTACTTGAAGTCGCCCATTGGATCGTCAAATAGTTCTGCCCCAAACCTAGCATAGAGGCTTCCTACATACTCAGTCCAACGTGGCCATTCCCATGACAGCCTGTGCTTCATATAAGATTGGTGCCATTGAGGTGCCTTGCCCTCGAAGTTGCAAGATGCCAGCTTAACCTTTGAGTCTTCTGGGGTTTTGTCTACATCGAAAAATTGTTCACATCTGTAAAGCCATTCCCTCAATCCCTGTCCATCAAATTCAGGGAAATCCATCTGGTAATTACGAGTAGGTAGTTGATAATTCCCAGGTCTGTTTTCACCCCTAGGAATTCCTTCAGCTAGGGGTCTAACACCACCATGGGTGTTCGTAGATGTTGCCAGCAATCTTCGAAATTCGTCCATGGCCTGAGCCACACTAGCATCCACAGACCGTCAAATCTCGGCGACGGAGCTGGTTACTCCTTCCATGGAGTGTTTGAGACTGTCGACCTCCTTGCGCAGCTCTTGCATCCAAGTGTTGTGATCTCCCATTGCCACAGATCAGAGAATACTTTTCTCTGATACCAATGATACAATGTCAATTGAGTAAGCCTAAAGAGCAAAGAAGATTGATAGTTGCTCTTGAACAGCTGAACTCGATTCTTCCAAGGAAGAAGATGAATTGAGAGAGGAGATTGAGAGAGAAAGAGAATTTCTATTTGATCTGAATTGATACCTTTACAATGAAATCAACGAGTATATGTAAGAAGGGACAGCTGTCCACAAATCAGTTATAACAACTTGTAACCGACTTCCTCTACAACTATTACAACTCACGTGTCAGTCACATGTCCCACTTAACAGACTCAAATACAAAATTAACGACTAACTCGATTTCTAATCGATTGACATGTAACAGGAGGATTGACCAAAGACCATATAAGGAGACCAAGGACCTCTAATCCCACCGATATGTAACTTTAACGCCCCCGCACGCCCAAGACTGGACATTTGGAGCATGGACAATATAAGACAGGAGGCCAACATCATAAACAATGAATTGGGATGAGCTTGACTAGAAATGGATCTTGGGCCTAACTCAACCCCAAAAGCTAACTCATGAGGAGGGAAGGTTTGCCTAAGACCATACAAGTAGACCAAAGATCTCTAATCCCACTGATGTGGTGACTTTAACAAGTACCTACTAAAAGAATAGCAGATCTACAGAGAGAGAAATGAAAGGATTACTTTAACGCAAAAAAGAAGAAGAAAAAACCAACTACTATTATACATTTAGGCACAAGAATAAGCAGTAATTCATCACCATATACAAATATATGGTACTTTAATTGCTACTCAGCTCTGCAAGTCACCCGTTAGAAGTTACATGATGTTTTCCCGCACTTATCTTGTGCTACTTTGCCTTGCTTTCCCTTCAGGACAGCTTGAAATTATCAGCTCCTTTATCCATTGTATGCAACTTGAAATTATCAGCTCTTTTATCCATTTCATACAACTTGATTATTTAGATGGTGCAATTTAGTAGGGGTCTTGAACTTCAACATTTAATATTTGCTGTTTCTGCTCCCTAGATATCCATCAAATGGCCAGATACTGAAAATTTGCTCTTTCCTCTAGATCATTAATGTGTACGATCAGAAGTATGAGAGCGGCGCATCATTTTGGCCAGATGTGCATCGTCGTATACTTACAGGTTTGGTGATATCCCAGCTTCTATTGCTGGGTTTGTTGAGCACCAAAAATATTTCCAAATCAACACCTGTAATGATTGCACTTCCAGTTTTGACAATCTGGTTCCATATATTTTGCAAGGGCCGATATGAGTCGGCATTTGTGAAATTCCCCTTGCAGGTTAGTGTTTCATTACCTACTGCAACACGTTGTAAGCCAGGACTACAAGTTAGTAAATAAGAAGAACGAAAAATTCATATATTCTAGAAATTTGTTCGTTTATTATACTGCCACCGTGCTGGTTCAAGTGCTAATAGGAAGGAATTCACTCTTTACACATACTTTTTACATCTTCCTCTGTCTAGAAATGCTATTGACCATGTTTGTCAACTTAGGCTAAGATTGTTAAGTGTCTGGTGCAGGATGCAATGGTGAAGGATACACTAGAACGGGCGACAGAACCAACTCTTAATCTTAAAGCATATCTCAAGGATGCTTATGTCCACCCAGTTTTTAAAGGTGTGGAGTTGGACAGACCGTCAGCAGTTGACGATGAGGAGAATAATCCACTTGTTCCTACGAAGAGATCACGTAGGAGTAGTAAGTCTCATTCTGAAGAAGGCGTTTGAGACACAGGATGTAGAGTCAGTTTTGTCACCCAAAGGGAGATAGAAAGAACTTAAAAGGAAGTGGTTACTATTCTTTATTCTGTTCTCCCCACTATAGCTTGTATTGGGATTTCTGCGGTGGAACATGAAAGAATCAGAATGTACTGAATGCAGAACTCGAACACGCGATGATGATGATGATATCTCAGCTTCAGGTGCCTGTAAATGCTCGCGATATATAGGAGAAAGAAAGATTTTCTTTAACTTGTTCATACTATCTGATGTTTATGTGCAGAATCCAAAGGCTAAAATGAAAGTGTGAAACTATAATGATACTTCAATATCTAAGCAATCAAAGTACAAAGTGACCAAAAGAAAGGTCCCTATAATAAGCTCCATAAACTTATTAAATTGCGAAAACAAGGTTTGCGTACATCTATCATCGGACATCTGACTACACTGGTTATGCTGTCGTAAACATATTAACTTATGTCTTGCGAATCTTAATTCACGGCTTAAAAAAGTAATTCTAAAGATATATCAACACATAATTTGAGTGACTTTATTGATGCAAAAATAAAGTAAAATAACTCCATTCTATAAAATTTCTTTAACTTTCTTAATTTTTTTAAAAAACTTTATTTCATTAATTTTTTAAATCTGAGTAACCACTTAAAAGAATTTACTCAAATAGTGCGCCTACCATTTGGGTGTGCTGAATGGGCAAGATCCAAAAATATAGTAGGAGGACGTTACAATTTTATTTATTTACCCTTGTTTTGATATTTTAAGTAATGTCTTTTTAAAAAAATTATATATATATATATATATATATATTTTAAGTAATGTACTTACCTCAAAATAGATAAAAACTATTTTGATTTGAGTGATTCAAATGGGTCCACGATTCTTGACGTGAGATATCCGAATTGTTTTGATCAAGCAGAAAATTTAAGAAATAATGGAAGATTTTGTAATATTTGTTAAATTGTCTTATCAAAGTCATGTTAATAGTATTTTTAATTAATTTTTTTTTACAATAAAATATTAAGTAAGATTCAATAAATATAAAATGAGGATGATGCTATCAAATAAATGACATTTTTTTTTGTGATGGATCAAACAAGAAATGGTCTTATAAATTGACAATAATGAAATACTTTTTTTAAATTGAAATTCATAATGTTATTTGATAATTTTTTTTATAAATATATAGTGAGATATTTCACGGATCAAGAAGCAATTGGGCCCATTTGCCCAAAAACCCACGTTCAACGGAGGAAATAAATAATTAATTGTACGATTTTTCGTGATTTTTTTTATCCTTTAAATAAATTAATTTTTATTTTTGTCCTTAACTGAAACTTATGTATAGTATAAATAAAATATAGGGAAAAAAGACAAATATACCCTCGAACTATCGTAAATGGTATGCAGATACCCTCCGTTATACTTTTGGGACATTGGTGCCCCTGCCGTCCAATAACTAGAACATATATACCCTTTATACTAACAAACATATATGTGTCATAATCTTATCCATCGACCGACATTTATTAAATATCGGATCAATGGATAAGATTGCGCCACGTGTCCCTATTTAGTCTTTCGTTAGAGTGAAGGACATATATGCTCTAGTTTTTGAATGACAGGGGCACCAATGTCCCAAAAGTATGACGGAGGGTATCTGCATACCATTTACGATAGTTCGGAGGTATATTTGTCCTTTTTCCCTAAAATATAATACATACAAAGCTTTTTAATGAGATACTAATACATAAACATTCATTTTAAATCGATCCTAATTTATATATGCTCTTCAATTTTGAATGTGAAATTATGAATAGATAGATAAACACTTTATTTTTGTATAAAATTGAACAAATATATAACTGCATTCTACCGGATAATTTGTGTCCTACATAATTAAAATCAAATTAAAGGACATATTTTTGTAAATTACGAGCATAATTTGAGAGATATTAGGATATAAAAATATAAAATTTATATCTTGCAAAAATAAAAATAATTTGTCTAAAATCATGAGGAAAAAAGGGATATGGAAATAACAGAAAAAGAACAAATAAATGGACCCAGATTGGTACTGCTCTCAAATTCCTCACATTCTGTTTCTCTGACTGAATCCTTATGGGTATGTTTCCTCTTTCTCTCTCTACATTTTTTCATTTCTTCTTACTTTAATTTTCTGCTTCAGACTAGATTTGGACTGATTTTTCATGGTAAACTACAATTTTTTTTTAGAGTAAATTAGTAAATGTTAGTGTTTTGTTCACTCACATTTCTTAATAAAATCCTCAACTGGACTGTTATTGTGTAAATTCTTCTTTGCTTCCAATTTGATAATAGCTTCAAGTTGTGATAGACTCATACTATATGCTGTAACAATCAATTTTGATAATATCTGCTTAAAATGTTTGGTTGACAAAATAAAAGGTATTTCATAAAGTGCAGAACCAAAACCAATTCATCAATACTAGTAATGACCTTTTTGATGTTATGAATTTTGACCCGATTTATAGTTGGTACTCACTCTCTGTTTCAATTTGTTTGTTTGATTTTGAATTGACTCGGAGTTAAAGAAAATAAAGAAAGACATTTGAATCTTGTGGTTTTAAAGTACTAAAGATATGCAGAATGTATAAATAATCTTGTGATCTTAAATATGTCAGGTGGAAATTTAGAATTAAGGAGTTGTTGAAAAAGAAGTAAAAACATTCTTTTTGAAATGGACTAAAAAGGAATTTAAGATGAACAAATTGAAACATGGGGGAGAGTATAAGTTGTTTACTTCAAGTATATTTGCCCTCCGTTAATAGTTTGAGTCTACTGTTTTTGAAGGTAGTGGGTGGACTTCTATCATGGATCTGCCTATGATTCTTGCAATTTATTTCCACGTTCAATTCGTTCATCTGTTGCTTCCATTATGGTGTTTTACTCTAGTTGTTCTGCCTGTTGAAGAATTCTCGCCAAGGCAACTACCTCTTCCAACTCCTTTTGAGATATGTAGTGTTTGTTTTTGTATTTTTGCAGGACTTGATTAAGAATATGTGATCCACCAAGTTCTATATCTGACGCTGTCGTAACATTGTGTGCTGCTAATGGCAACTTCACCAATACAGTTGGTTGTGCATTCACGTTTGTTGAGCTATGGCAGTACTGAGTCAACCAAGTTGGTTCCTGCATCATCAGGTAACCGTGGAAAAATAGTATGCAGTCTAAGGAAGCTGGAATTGGAAGACATGAATTTCTCTGGCATAGGTCGAAATAATGACCAACAAGTTCCTAGGAGAGCTCATCGACGAAAAGCACTATCAGCATCGAGAATTTCGCTTGTTCCATCTGCAAAAAGGGTTCCCACTTACCTTTTCAGGACAGATATTGGTGGTCAAGTGAAAGTCTTGGTGGAAAAGACAAATGGAAAGTACAAAGTGCTTGTAGAAGTCTTGCCATTGGAGCTCTCAGATGCACATTCTGAGCTAGTTATGGTTTGGGGTCTTTTTAGATCTGATGCTTCATGCTTTATGCCTCTGGATCTAAACAGACGTGGAGCAGATGGAAAAAGTAGTACTGTTGAAACACCATTTGTGCAAGGACCTTCAGGCAAGGTCACCGTTGAGCTGGATTTTGAAGAAAGTTTAGCCCCCTTCTATATCTCCTTCTATATGAAGTCACAACTAGTTACTGACATGAAAAACTCAGAAATCAGAAGCCACAGGAACACAAATTTTGTTGTACCAGTTGGTCTCAGTTCAGGGCATCCTGCTCCATTGGGTATTTCCTTTCAGCCAGATGGATCTGTGAATTTCGCTCTCTTCTCACGCAGTGCAAAAGGTGTAGTTTTGTGCTTGTATGATGACATATCAGCTGAAAAACCTTCTTTAGAGATTGATCTAGATCCTTATATTAATCGATCAGGCAATATTTGGCATGCTGCTTTAGATTGTTCTTTGCCATTTAAGAATTATGGTTATAGATGTAAGGCGGCTACTTCTGGGAAGGGAGAGCTGGTTCTTTTGGACCCATATGCTAAGGTGATAAGGCGTGTTATTCCTCGTCAGGGTGGGTCTGAGATACGTCCAAAATATCTTGGAGAACTATGCCTGGAACCTGGCTATGATTGGAGCGGTGATGTCCCTCCTAGCTTACCTATGGAGAAACTAATAATTTACCGCTTAAATGTGACTCAATTTACAAAGGACAAGTCCAGTAAGCTACCTGATGACCTTGCTGGAACTTTCTCTGGCATTAGCAAAAAATGGCGCCATTTTAAAAATCTTGGTGTGAATGCAATGTTACTGGAGCCAATTTTCCCTTTTGATGAGCAGAAAGGACCCTATTTTCCGTGGCATTTCTTTTCACCTGGAAATATGTATGGACCTTCTGGTGACCCTCTTTCTGTCATTAAATCTATGAAGGATATGGTTAAGAAATTACATGCTAACGGGATAGAGGTTTTTCTTGAAGTTGTTTTCACTCACACTGCAGAGGATGCACCTTTGATGAATGTTGATAACTTTTCATATTGCATAAAAGGTGGTCAGGATCTGAATATTCAAAATGCATTGAATTGCAATTACCCCATAGTCCAACAAATGATTTTGGACTGTCTCCGCCACTGGGTAATTGAGTTTCATATTGATGGTTTTGTTTTTGTTAACTCTTCTTCGTTGTTGAGAGGGTTCAATGGAGAGATTCTATCTCGTCCTCCATTAGTTGAAGCTATTGCCTTTGATCCTATCCTTTCAAAGGTCAAGATGATTGCAGATAATTGGAATCCATTAACCAATGATTCGAAGGAAAATTTGTTCCCTCACTGGAGGAGATGGGCAGAGATAAATATGAGATTTTGTGATGACATTCGAGACTTCTTGAGAGGTGAGGGTCTTCTAAGCAATCTAGCAACACGACTTTGTGGAAGTGGGGATATCTTTGCAGGTGGACGAGGTCCTGCATTCTCTTTTAATTACATTGCCAGAAATTCTGGACTCACACTTGTTGACCTGGTTAGCTTCAGTAGTAATGAAGTGGCTTCAGAGTTAAGTTGGAACTGTGGACAAGAAGGCGCTACGACCAATAACATTGTCCTAGAGAGACGACTTAAACAAGTTCGTAATTTTCTGTTCATATTGTTCATTTCTCTAGGTGTACCAGTACTTAACATGGGAGACGAGTGTGGTCAGTCTTCAGGAGGTTCCCCTGCATATGATGCTCGAAAATCTTTGGGTTGGAATACTTTAAAAACTGGTTTTGGGACTCAGATTGCCCAGTTTATTTCATTCTTGAGTAATTTAAGAGTGAGAAGAAGTGATCTTCTTCAAAAGAGAACCTTCTTGAAGGAAGAAAACATCCAGTGGCATGGGAGTGACCAATCTCCTCTGAAATGGGATGGCCCGTCTAGCAAATTCTTGGCTATGACTTTGAAGGCCGATGCTGAAGTCAGCCAGACATTAGTCTCTGATATCGTAGGTGACCTGTTTGTTGCTTTCAATGGTGCTGGTGATTCAGAGATTGTTATCCTTCCACCACCTCCAACAGATATGGTATGGCATCGTCTTGTTGACACAGCCCTCCCTTTCCCGGGGTTTTTCGATGAGAAGGGAACTCCAGTTGAAGATGAATTAGTTGCATATGAGATGAAGTCTCACAGCTGTTTGCTGTTTGAAGCTCAGAGACTAGCTGAAATAGATTCTAGCAAGAGAAAGAAACAGATTAGACTTTCTTCTAAGAGGCAATAGTTTGTAAATCCCCTAAGTATATATATATGTTTAAATAAGAGGCTTTTTTTTCTGAATAAATAAGAAGATTTTACTGAGAATACTTGTATCTAAACATTTTCTTTTGCAGCTTCAAATATCTTAAGAGTTCTTATGTAAAAGATGTAAAGATTAGTGCCATACAAGCTTTGTCAGCTGCAAGTTTTGTTGACATGATTGTATCCTCTACTGCTGAATAGAGCACCCACTCTGCATAGATTAGGCAGACATGCATTCCAGCCCGGCCAGTTTTAGTGGAGGGGCGTGCTATTTGTTTACATCCATTAGTTTATAAGGGATTTAATGCCGATTGTGATGGAGATCAAATGATTGTTCATCTACCATTATCCTTGGAGGGAGGCTCAAGTAGAAAACCAAGGCCGCTTAAATTTGAAATGCCTCAATAAGTGTTAGCTAGAGCAAGATTTCCTGGTACATACTCCCTCTGTCCCTAATTACGTGTCCACTTTTTAATTGACACACTTATTAAGAAAACAATGATTGACATAGTGTGTTTACCATTTTACCCCTATTAATTATGAAGTGGATGAATTAAAAACTTAAGATTTTCAAGAAGTTTTACATTTTTCAAAGTAATTAATTGAGGGTATAATAGGTAATTTTTTTTTATCCTTTCTTGATTTGTCAAAATGGACAAGTAATCAGAAAAAGAGGGAGTAACAATTATATGTTCATCCACTGACTGTTACAAGACAATTTGCTACACCATTAAGAGATCGTTTAGCTGAGTGTATAAGAATAATATTGAATAGGACATATTAGTAATGCTAACATTAGTTAAACTGAAGTCATTTCTTATGCACGATTTTATTTGATTTATTAAAAATAACACACATTTGCATGAGTTCTGAAAAAGAAAAGTTGTTTACTAAAATACCTCCACAAATACAGTGAATAGGATGTTGAAAAGATTTTGCCAGGCAATTATGTCTTTTAACCATGCAACAAAAATCCTTACATTGTTAATACCATGATTTGCCACCTACTAAACATACATAACACCAAATAGTGTATACATAGATTGAAAAATGTACCAAACAAGGTATTAGTAAGACACGAAACTACTACATACATTATTATTCTTAATGTATCCTACCAAACAACCCCTAAATGTACACTCGGTAAAGCTTCAAATGCTATTCTTCCAGCTAATACATAGACACTCTTCTCGGCTGGGAAGGAGCAGAAGCACACAGTTTTTTTCCATGGGGAGGGGAAGGAAGGAGAAATGGCAAAATTATCTTACATAAGATGTTATAACTTGGTGGCATGGAGTCGTCGTAACTATAATGGTAGTAGGAACCTCATGAACGGGACATATTATCGATGAACCGTCTGTGAACTTTTCTTCTCTAATGAGATTTCTATTCTGCCTATATTTCTAAATTGGGAAGAGGCAGCAACTTGCTACCACACCAAGTTGATGGCCAGATCCAAAAGACTTTCAACTTGATGTATTGCGCGTTGCTTCTCCTGTTGTTTCAATCTACTCGCGACTGATTCTGGATCAAGTCCTTGTGCTTCTAATGATTCTGTATATTCAGATCGCACCTCCTTTAACAGTTCGTCCACCTCTCTGACAAAATCTATCCTCAAAAGCATATCGTCAGCTTCCAAGCTTGGTCTTAGAGGACCTTGATGCTAACAAGAAATGCAAAGAAAGTGAGAAAAGCAACTTTAGATGTCTTGACGTAACGAATTAATGCGCACATACCACATAGAGAGAAGTGAATGTAAATATCAGTTATCACACAAGTACAATCAGGTTTTGGATCTCATAGATTGATAGTACGAAGATGAACAGTTTATACCAAATCAGAAAAGCAATATGAAAGAGTAAAAATGTACCGTGTCCATGTCGAAACCTGCAGGTACAAGAATGCTAAATGGGTCCTCTCGAGGAAATGTATCAACCATATGTTTTTTACATGCCTTGAGCCATCCTTCATTGTCTAGTCCACCATCATGCATATTCAGAAGATCATTCAGTAGTCTCATGGCAGGAGTTGCTTCCCGCTTCAAAATCTCTGTCTAAATGCAAGGCTAAAGGTTTTAGACAAGAAAAAACAATAAAGACAGAGAAAGCTGGGTATTTTTCCCGCATGATGAAAGATAAAACACGATTGTGTGACAGTCAGGAAAAGACATGAGTAAAAGCCTGAAATGTAAAGACAAACTAAAAAAGGAAGAACACGAGTGAGAGATAAAAATAAAGAGCAACTTTCACATATAGTAAACATAAAAATCATATTTGTATGTTATAGCTATAGTTTGCATAATTGCGCTCCATAGCAAATTTTATGTTTGCTATGGAGCTTTTGATTTGTATAGTTCGCTACAAACATTCAATTTTATACAAATTGTTCAGTTTTGTATAAATTCATTTATACATTGTAATTTGTATAATAAGATCTATATTTGTATAATTATAAGTGTATAGGACGAAAATATATGTATTTGTATTTGTATATACACTTTTCTCTCGCTTTATACAAACACAAACACATTTTATACATTTTATACCGAAATGTATAAAATGGCTAATTGTATATCGAAAATGGCTAATTGTATACTGAATCAGATGACAAAAGATAGGGGACGTTTGCTGCGAATTACAATTAAAATAAACTATGACTATAACATTTAATTTGAATTAATAGTTTGCTATTTCATACAATTTTCCCAAAAATAATCAGTAAATCACATCTACTTGTCAATTCGTCAAAGATCAACAAATGGGTAAGATACTTATCAAAGCTGGATACTTGAGATGATGAGCATTTCCTTAAAATGACAGTTAACCACACAAAAGTTACTTTTGGCAGGCAGAGGGATACAACACATACGAGAAGAAAGGAAATTCAGTGGAACACTATCAAGGTTAAAATTACCAAGTATAATTGAGTTAAATGAAAATACAGGTGAGTTTTGGCCTAAAATCATCCCTCAAGTATAACCCAAACTTAGAGTACATTTTTATAATATAATCCCCAAATTTTGCAATAAACAACCTTAGGTTAACTTATGTTAAAAAACTAACAGCTGAAATAAATACATACATGTGCCAAGCACATGACTTCCTCCCAAATCTCCATATACTGTACGGATTTCTTCATCTTCATAAACAATAGCCACAAAATGTTGGGACTCTTCTTTTAGGTTTTTGTGCAGAAAAATAATCTGCTCCAATGGGTGCAGCTATGAACTTTATACAATTTATCATACTATAGTACAGATGAGCCGTAGAGAACTAGGTAGAAGTCTACATAAGGATCAGGGGCACGATTTGGGAGGAAATCAATCGTACAATATATGGGGATTTGGGAGGAAGTCATGTGCTTGGCACATGTATTTATTTTAGCTGTTAGTTTTTTAACATAAGGATGTTTATTGCAAAGTTTGGGATAGTTAAAGGATGTTTTTTGTTCATAATTATACCATAAGGATGTACCCCAAGTTTGAGTTATACTTGAGGGATGATTTTAGCCCAAACCCCTAAAAGAGTCGATGTTTTAAATAATTGATATCAAAGAAATAGGAGTTTTTTTGGCCAGGAGCGCTTCTACAGAAGACTGTTTTCACATACCTCAACTCGCCTGTACAAGAGATCAAGACTTCGAACTGCATCCTTCTCATCCTGGAATGCACAAAAAAGATATCTTACATGCATTAGATTTTTCTTTTGTTCCTTTTACTAAAGAGTTAGTGGTGAGGGCTCACTAAGCTACCACACATGGACTTCTAGAGGATACTCTATACAAGCACATAATTAGGAGGCTGCATAGTCTTCTATTACACCAAAGTAAGAAAAAGACTTATTCCCATTTCCACACTGCCTATGCAACAGTACCATACTAATCAAACATTGACAGTGCATATGAAGGACTTTAAATACAAGAAGATGGAATCTAAAGGAATTGACAGAATCACAGAATTGTCAATGAGCGATGAAAAATACCTAATATTTTAATATTGCATGAAATATCATCCATGGTGCATTTCATCATCTAATTGTCACAGTAAGTCCTGTAAATTTTCTCATTTAAACTAGGCCATTTTATTTGGGGAAAACTTGTGGAGATTCTGTTCCAAATTCGCTACTCTGTAGGAGTGACAAATTTTGCAGCAGCCACCGCTTTCCATCTGAGCTCATGAACTAAAGAACATGCTAAAATGAATGTGACACTTTAACTGACGACCAAAGGAGAATCCATTGCACAAACAAGCAAAAGCAAAGGAAATAGAACAGGGTAGCTGAGCTAGTCATAGAAAGGTAAGATAAGCCATAAAATGCTTACATCACGCCGAGCAAGATCAAGCCGATTCCATATGATCAATAGAACAAGTTCATCGAGTTCACCTTTTTCTGCAGCTTCCTCAATTTTCTGCACATAAACATCAAAACAAGATCCATACAAGAAACAATGTCCAATAAGAAAACTATCACAAAATTGGACTTTTGAAGAAAAAATCCCTAGGGCTTTGGTCTAGTTGTAAGAGAGAAACATGTGATGTGTGGTTTAGGCATATGTCACAGGTTCAAACCCTGTTATAAACAAAAGCTTGGTATTTAGGTGGAGAAAGGTAGAGTGGCGGGCCCATTATCCACCATGGCACCATCCAAACCTTGGTATTTCTCAGTCATCAAAAAAGAAAAATTGGAATAGACAGATAGATGTCATAAGAAAAGGATTTAATAAGAAGATGTTTATGTATTCTGTCACATCCAAGTAGCTAAAGTTAGTGTATAATGGATAGATAGATTTCACAAGCAAGAAGAGATCTAAAGGCTAAATTAACAACACGATAGATAACCATAACTCAGGAAAGATGTCCCTCAAGAGAAAGAAGGGTTGTTGGGGATCAATTCTGTAACCTACAGAAGGAGAAAAGAAAGAAATCTATAGCTCCAAAACTGAACTCTTTTACTAATTTTCTCAAGGCCACATAAATCAACAGGATCAATAAATTAATTGTACAACTCTTAATTAGCAATTGACGAAAAAAAACTATATCCTTGAGAAATGAGGATTTTTGCTTCTAACTCTCTTGAAGGGGATACAAGGTAACAAGGGGTAGGTAAAGCTAAAAGATAACCCCTTTGCTACCAGTTTGCGTACTAAGACATCAGTATGGCCAAAGAGAATAATTTCTTCTTTTCGAAAAAAGGAGAAAGAAAAAGACAAAGCAATTAGTGATTTTCTTGTTTGTATTAACACCAGCTCCGCAACAACTTTGACATTGTTCAGATTCTCCTAGACTGGGTATTTAAGCCAAATACTTAACAAGGTACAATGTTAATGTTCTCATAAAGGCTAAAATTCAACTATTCTAGAAAACAAATACAGTTGCATCACAGGGAAAGCCTCATACACCTTGTGTATATTATCTATATCCAACCAGAAATAAATAAGAATACACATTAACAATAAAAGTTGTTCACCTCTTCCACTTCTTCAGCTGATCTAATGAAGCTGGCAACCAATTTCTTGGCCTTTACAAGATCTTCTTCTGGATAATCTTTCAATCGCAATCCAATTTCACGATATTCATCTATCTTTTCCTCCTCTTCCTCTTCCTCCTGTTGACGTCGTCTATGCAATTCCTTAGTCTTTTCCCTTTGTTTAGCTTGCCATTCCTATAAGAGAAAGCTTAGCACCAACTTCCAGAGCATGCTAACAGTATTAACCTTCCTTTTTGCTTATACATTGCTCCCTCTACAATAATTTATACTCCATTACAGTATTACTCCCTCGTCTCAATTTATGTGAAGGTGTTTGACTAGGCACGAAGTTAAACTTGTGGGCTTAAACTAAAAATAGGTAGAATGTACCACAATGCTCTTTAATCTTGTGGTGTGCCGGAAGTTAGAATTAAAGAGTTGTCAAAAAAACGTACAAGTTCTTTTTAAAACGGATTAAAAGGAAAGTAAGACAGACAAATTGAAACGAAGGGGTACTTCAAAAAACTTGAGAGCACTAAAATTAGAATCTTTTGACCCTCGTTACCTTATCTTCTACCCTTTTGCAAGAATCAAACTAGAAACCAGTAATCCAACCAAAATTATTACGGGGAATGTTAGAAGCTCAGTTGGTAGGGGTTTGATTCCCTGGCTTTCCTACCCTAATTTTGGATAATTTACTGGTGACAGATGGGAAAAATATGCTCAAACATCAAAAATGAAACAGACCCAGAAACAATAAGAGGCAAAAAAAGAACATACATCATCATAAAATTCCTTTGGAAGTCCATAAAGGTCCTTCTCTTCAATCCCCTTGCTTCGCAATGCTAAAAAATTGAAACTTTTTAGATTTTATCAATCATTTAACCTCAAAATTGAAAAAAAAAAACTAGGAAAAGATTAAAGTGGATCTGACTGACCTGTGGTGGATGGATATTTGATTGAATTAAAAGTTGAAGTTGCTGAGAGAGATGAAGTTGAAGGAAAAGAATGAGGGAAAACAGTGGCAGTGCATGTTAATCCTAGAGCTATTGACTCCATTTAGCTCGCTGCCTAAAATGGGTGTTCCCTAAAACCCCAGATAAATCCTCTCCATTTTTATGTATTTATATATTCTTTTAATATTTTTTTATGTATATTTAATTACAAAATTAGTAACTAAGAAGAAATAACAAGTTTCTGTTAATTTTTAATTGTCCAATACTCCCCGTTTCTAATTACTTGTCAACTTTTCCTTTTTTAGTTGTCTCTAATTACTTATCTATTTTGACAAATTAAGAAAAACAACTTTTTTTTTTACCTATTATACCCCCAATTAATTATTTTGCAAAAGGTAAAACTTCTTGACAATCTTAAGTTTTTTTAATTCATCTACTTAATAATTAATAGGGGTAAAATAATAAACTTAATATATCAATCATTAGTTTCTTAATAGGTGTGTCAATTCAAAAGTAAACAAATAATTAGAGACAAAAGAAATATTTAACTTGACATACTTATTAAGTAATACTCTCTTTTTCTCTTTTACTCGTGTAATATTTTTAAAATAATTTTTTCTATTGTTTGTCACTTTTAACCTATCAAAAAAAAAAGATAAATGCCTACTTATGCACACTCAAAATTGAAGAACATAAATGACAATAAACGCCAAATGAACACATTTAAATATTATGCCTAAATTTTGTACTTAGGGCCCGTTTGGCCATGCGATATGGTATCATGAGATGAAATTGAAGTTTTGTTTGTACATGCGATATGAAATTTTTGTGTTGTATATTTTCTCATAAACATAAAAATCTCATAAGTAAAAAACTATTAAAATAACCCTAATTGTTTATTCAATCTTATCAAATAAACAAAAAAATATAATATCGCATAATAAATTATTGCAAAGCTATTCGTTCTCCACTTAAGTAATTGTTTCATCTAACTTTAATTTAATAAAAAAAATTGAACATAAATTATAGTGTAATAGTCTTTAATATAATTCTCCCACATAGTACGGACAATTTCCTCACGTTGAACTTGCATTTCTTGATCATGTGACCAAGAAGACGAACCAACATTGTTACTTTGAGCCATTTGTTGGTCAATATCATCCGCAACTATATTTTCATGCTCATAGACCATAAATATTTCATCACTTTAACAATCGGTTGGTGTGAGTTAAAGTGACTATACGTTGGCGAGAATAATAAATTTTATGTCGGTGAGAATAATAAATTTTTAAAAGTAATGATGTGATTATAAATTTTATTTACATATGAAATAAATGATTAATTAGTAGATATAAATATGGGGTTATTTTAACAAAATATAAACTTGTGGATCAATTTTTGTATTAAAATATCTCAAATCATGATATGGAATTACCATATCATGATTTTTTGAGAATATGGAATCACATCTCATGATATGAAATCATGAGATGGAATCAACATAAAATTACATGTCCAAACACTGATTCCATATCGCATGGCCAAACGCCTACTTAATTTACCAAATTAAACAAGTAAAATCACGTATTTTTGGAATAGGAGACCAAGGAAGTAATATATTTATTTTTGATCTATCTCATTATACTTTGGCTTTGACCCAATTCTAAGTCGTTTTTTTTTGGAACAGTAGATATTTTATTTAATACTACTAGATAGTCATTACATTGGTCATAGCCACATTACTAAGCATTACATTACTGATACTAATATTTCTCATTGCTACTAGAGTAGTACTAGTACTAAGAGAGACTTTTTTTTCTATATACTGTCCAACTCTATCATAGGTAATACTCCATCCGTTTAAAAAAGAATGATCTTCTTTCCTTTTTAGTCTGTTTAAAAAAGAATGACCTCTTTCTTTTTTTAGTAACATTTTAATTTCAGCTTTCCACGTGGCATGTTTAAAGCCACAAGATTGAAGGGCAATTTAGTACATTTGACATAACTTTAATTTAGGACCACAAGATTCAAAAGTTTCTTTATTTTCTAAAACTTCATGCCAAGTCAAACCAGGTCACTTTTTGTGAAACGGAGGGAGTAGTAGTTAAAGCCCACTAGGGTGGGTAAAGCATATGAGTAACTTCATTCGATTCTTCCTGAAGCGTTCCTTGAGTTGCCAATAGATGTGCAAGTTTATTCCCTTCCCAGAAACTATGGCGGATCAACGGATTCCCCAGTTTCTTCGTAATGACCTGCATTTTTGAAGGATATTGTTATAAACTTGAACATTATTATCCTGAATTAGTTTGATTACCTCAGATGAGTCTGTTTCAATTTCCAGGTTTGTTATTTGGCGTTCTTTGGCAAAGTTGAGGCTGTGGAATAGGGCCATGAGCTCCATGAAAGTATGGTTAATGGTGATGATTTTTTTTTTTTGTAGAATCCCATCACCCATCTGTCATTTGCATCTCTCACAACTCCTAATATGCCAATGTTAGTAGCTCTATTATATGAACCATCAATGTTAAGCTTCAAAAACCCCTCAGCGAGGGAATACCATTTGATGTGCACCGTGAGGCAAGGCTTAGAGGGGTGGGATAAGGAGTCGGAGGAGAAGATGCACTCAAGAACTTTGTGCTCGAGGTTATAATTATTTATGGGGCGCTTAGAGTTGTTAAACACGTTGTGGTTGCGATTGGTCCAAATGTACCAAATTACAAACATGAAGAAAATTTCCCACTGGATCAGAGGGTTTTGCATGATAGGGTTTTTGTTTTTGATCACCACCAGGCAATTATCATAAGTATTAAAATCAATATCAAAGATTATGTGATAACTTTCCCAAAATTGCTTGGCTATAGGACAATGGATGAGAATATGGCTGAGGGATTCAGGATTAATGTTGCAAATAGGACAAATGTTATCATTGCTAATGTTGAGGGTTTGAAGATACAATTTTGAGGGATTTCTATTATGGGAGCATTGCCACATGAAGTACTTGATTTTATTGAGTGTCTATAGATCTTAAATCCATTGGAAGGTGTAATTGTTGGGATCTGTAGGTTGCAGCATTTTTCGGAGGGAGGTTGTGGTAAGGAGACCGTTAGAGTTTAGGGTCCAGATGGGAAAATCTGATCCTGAATGAGTATCAAGAGGAATTTGGTAGATGCGATCTGTCACGTTCGTCGGGATAGGAAAGGAACAGTTGTCGAGATTCCAACTACCATTGATAATGAGACTAACCACTTTCATATCAGTTTCATTCTTATTGATGGGGCCTTCGATGAGGGACCTAAGATTGTTGTTTGGAGGGATCCAATTATGATGCCAGATGTTAACTCTATTTCCATCCGTGAGCACCCACCTAATACCTTTATTACAAGTCTTCCACCCTTTAAGAATGTTTTTCCAAATAAAGGAACCTCCTTTGGTAGGTTTATTTCTTTTGTAGTATTTAGTGAGCATATAGTTTGCCCAGACACCGAGCCTAGGACAAGCCTCCAAGCTAAGCTACCTAACATGGCGTTATTCTTATGCTCCGCTTTAATAAGGTGCAGACCTCCTTCTTCTTTGGGTTTGGTTATTTGGGACCAACTAAGGTAGTGCATTTTTCTCTTAACGGCAGTATTACCCCAAATGAAATCTCACTGAACTTTGTCGATTCTCTTAAGGGTGAAGCTAGGCAATTTAAAGTAAGGCATATGGTATGTAGGAATGACATTGAGAGTACTCTTTGCCAAGGTAGTTCGTCCAGCTAAGGTGAGAAAATGCACTTTCCAGCCCGCCAATCGACTGGTCATATTATCTAGGATGCAATTAAAGTCTATATAGGTGGGATTTCGATTAAAAATGGGATATCCAAGATACTCTCCAAACTCCGTAGAGGTCTCTATACCAAATAAGTCTCTAACAAGTTTGGGGAATATGGGAGGGCAATTCTTGGAAAAAATAGCTTTAGACTTCTTTTGGTTAATAGTTTCCCCAGAAAGCGTACAAAATAGATTTAGGCATTGGTGCATGTTGGAGATAGTTTTTTGGAAAGCTGTAGCCATAAGGGTAAGGTCGTCTGCATAGAACAAGTGAGAGATAAGAGGTCCTCTAGGATTAAGGGTGATAGGGATCCAGTTAAGAATATCTACTTGGTAGCTAATATAATTTGAGAGAAGCTCCATGCACAAAATAAATATATAAGGAAACATAGGGACCCTTTTCCTAATCCCCCTCGTAGGCTGAATTTTTTTTGTTTTTGAACCATTAACCAGAATAGAGATGGAGCTGGTAGTGATACAGTTGAGGATAATGTAAGTGATTTTCGGGGGAAATTTAAAGTAGAGTAAAGCCCGATGAATGAAGGACCATTCTAACTTGTCAAAAGCTTTTTCTAGGTCTAATTTAAGCATAAAACAACCTTTGGAGCTTCGAGTAGTTTGGATTTTTTTTATGATTTCCTGAATAAGAATCGGATTGTCTGAAGGCCTTATTCCTTTAATAAAACTGGCTTGGAAGGGGCTAATAAGGATGGGGAGAAAAGGTTTTATTCGGTTAACAATGATTTTTGTAACCATCTTGTAAATGGTATTGCAAAGACCTATGGGTCGGAAGTTTTTCAGGTTATTTACATTCTTAACCTTGGGAATGAGGCATAGATAAGTCTCATTTGTTTCCGAAAGAAGGAAACCGTTAGCAAGAACTTGATGACAAAAGCGTCTGACAGAATCTCCCACTATGTCGCTAAAATTTTGGTAGAAAAAAGGGTGGAGCCCATCGGGGCCAGGGGACTTGAAGGGTTGTAAATAATTGATCGCGTTATGAATTTCAAGGTCTTCGAGGGGTCTGTCTAGACAGGACAGATCTAACTTATGGAAGGAAGTTTGAAAAGTAGGGTAAACCCTTTTAGAATTAGTATGACTGGTAGTGTAGATTTGTCGAAAGTAACTCAAGTGTGAGACGAGATCTTTTTATGATCCGTAATAGTAACGCCATTATTGTCCACAAAACTAACAACTTTATTTTTCCTTCGTTTATTAATGACGGACATATAGAAGAATCTAGTATTGGCATCACCCTCATTAATCCAGTTTATTCTAGCTCTCATTTTCCAATAATTGTTCTCAATTTTAAGAATACTATTGTACTTTTGCATACGCT